TCTACTACTTTGACTTATGTGTTTGACCTGACAATCATTGCAGACAGTGAGTGTATTAGATAAAATAAACTGGTTTGTTTAATTGGCTCCACCGGATCCTTTAACTGACAAAGCTTGTTTCTAACTGAGTTTGTGGGTTTCAATGCCAGCCACTTTCATTCCTGCCTTGTTAAGAATTCCGAGTGAGGTTTCCGAGGTTCCTTCTTTGTATGCAAGTACTACTGATGATTCAGATTCCTTATCGTTGGTGTTGTCATTATCCTGTGCATGTTTGACATGCATGTCGTCATTAATATCAATATTATTATTATTATTATTATTATCATTATCATTATCGCTATCACTGCTAGTATTATTAATTTCATTTTTACGTTTTCCCACATGCTTCCTGATTAATTTATCTGGGTAATCATCAAGTTTCAAAGCTTCTCTTATATGTCTCACTTCCTGTCTTAGATTTTCCTTGGTACTACTTAGTTTTCGTGCTCTACTACTTTAAACATTTCAATAATCCTATTGTCGTTGACATAAGATGGTGGGATGATCGGAAATCCAAATATCCGTTTAAATGTGTGGGTTTCCCGTAAACACTAGTGTTTAACTTCCCATCTGCTTTCCTTTTTACGTTTGCAATCTAACATTGGAAGCTCCCCTCCACGACTTTCCAATTCATAAGTGAATTGAATTGCCTCCACCACTAGGTTAATGTATTCGAAATATCTATCTATATCCTGTGTTCGAAGTACAGTGAGTATGTCATCTACATACCTCCACCATACTTTAGGGGTGAAGCTGAATGTTTCAACCGCTATGATTTCCAACCTATCCATGAATATATCTTCCACAAGCGGTGATATTAGTGACCACATGGGAACTCCCTCAGATTCTTTGCATATTTTACCCTGGAATTATTTACCTATTGTGGAAGTCAGGCATAGTTGCACTCACACAATTATGTCCTCATGTGGCAATTTCCTTCTAAGTTCGAGTTGTTCATCACAAATGAGTTCGTTTCTGACTGCCTCTATAGCCATATTTATTGGTGAACGTGTAAATAAACTGACAGAGTCAAAACTAACTAACTGACTAACCACTATTCCTTCGTTATCTAATTTCCAATTCCCTACTCCATGTTTTAGTTCACAAGAATTTGTTAGTCTAGATTTGGAGTGATGAGATCGAAAGATTGTTTTCCTCCCCTTGTAACCATCTCTCGACTTTGCTAATCTTCACAATTCTGGCTAATTCTAATAACTTACTTGTTTGTGATTGGCGTAATTCTTCGGAGTCATTCTATTCTTATTAGTCGTCATTAATTTACAGATATTTTGATTGTGTTATAACTTGTTACTAACGCCTAAGAATCAACTCAACCCGAATTCCGTAATTAATTTTCACACCCACACCCACCCCCAGTCACTCAAAACTCAGATATCTTATCACTAACATCTAGTAGTTGATTGTTTTGATGACTGAACTTTAACCTCTTAATTTCACTCACCTATACCTAGAAATGAGTAACTAAATAACCACTTGACTGGTTGTCATCAGATTCTAATTTGATTACTTTCATTAGACTCCAATAGGTGCTTGAGACAACCAAATGTCAACACAAGCTGCTATACATTCTTCGCCACATCACTTCAATGTGTCCACATAGAAATAATGCACTTCTCTTCACCGAGTAATATCATATCATCCATCACTCAGTGTCATCAAAATACTCAGTGAATGGAATCATAGTACTGTAGAATTCTCCCATCACTATACATAAAACTGTATAGTCCCTTCTTATATAGGGGATTAGCGAAAGAATGAATACTCGTGGTTTACTCAGAGATGATGGATCGAAGAATACTCATTCCGACAACTGACACATTTCACCCTACAGTTAGATGTCTATACACACAGTTGTTGAAGAGTTATTCATATTGACAACACCAGTGTAGTGTCTTTGTGTAAGTACTATCCAGCTGTTAGGATGCGTCAATTCCCGTCGAACAGCATGTGTAGGCGATGGTATGCATAAACATCTCATGCTAGATTACATACATATCCAGTGAAATGAAGCAGACAATTTACGCAAGTTTTGAAGATGAAACAGGACCGAACAATCAGCTCACTGACCTAGCAAATGATATCACCGTCTGGTTCAGCAATTTCCCATTTAGATGGCTCACCAAACATCCACAAAGAACGGGTACCCTGTGTCAATTCTTTACATGTCATGACCGCCCTATCATCCCTTGACACGATGGCTAGTAGGTACTTTACAATCTGGGAGAAAGCTAATCGCCAAACACTCCTTAGAGGAGGATACGTTTGAATTCGTGGATCCAATAAATCGAATCAATGTATCTGGCTTAACTGTGGCTTCGTTGGATTGGGCCTATTCACTATTCACTAACGTCTCCTCAACCGAAACTCTATGCCACCTATGTGAGTTGATTGATTCAAACTATGTAAACTATGCTTGTATACCAACGAAGCACATCAAGTAATTAATCCTGAGACGTACACTAAATGTTCAGTTCTGAATATCTGGGGAAGGTTATTAAAGACTTGATAGAATCGATTATTCCTGAGTACTGTGTTGACATTTGGTTGTCTCAAGCACTTATTGCAGTCTAATGAAAGTAGTAAAATTAGAATAACTGAAAGTTAGTGGAATATGATGAATACTAACGGTGGTCTGCTCCTAGCCGTGTTCTAGCTCACCTTGTAGATGCTGATTATTATAACGTCGATGTTAACAGTGGCATTTAAAGTTATCCGTTGTATTCCGACTAATCTTATCTTATCTTATCTTAGCTTGTCCTTCCAGCTCGCTCCTACATATACCCGAAGAGATCGGAATCCATGTGAAGAAGCCTAGCTAATGTATTCAGAAGAATTTACCACAGACACTCTAATCAACTTGGTCACTATCACTTCATTGTCAAGATCTAACAGTTTCGCCTCTACCCACCACACACACACACACACACACACACACTCCAACACCCACCAAAAATCCTACATCCCTTACTAGCTATTATTGTTGTTTCACCTACCTTCACGAGTTGTTGCACAAATTGTCTTCTTCATTTTATTCAACATTTAATGCTTCATGGCGTACCTCGAGTCGAATATCCTCAAATATTCGAAGTTTACGAGAGGGTGGATATCGGTGATATCTTAATCGTCACCGATGGAAACACTGACCTGAATGAAATCTTACAGATAGATATTCAACAACACTCAGTCAAATCCAAAATCCAAGCGGAATCAAAACATTAATTAGCCTCCTTAGATATCTGCCTTACAAGACGATCACACGGAAGCCTACAAAGGCCAATCTACCACAAGCCAAATTGGAATGGACAGCTCACAGACTAACAGAGTTTTGTCCCAATGAGCAAACAAATAGCTCATCGCCTCTCTTGCCACAAGAATCTGCCATATGTGCACTGGAGATGCACTGAATTGAATAAGGAGGAATTGGAATCCTTCAGAAGAACTAACTCTATTCAAAACTGGATATCCGACCTCCTTCAATGCCCTCCCCTCAATAAACCTCTAAATTGAAAGACCGATACTCCTCGACAGCTGGATTTGTCGAAGAAACAATAACAGCTAGTTGAAAATCTGAAATTCAAGCGAGATACAACTAATTAGCCCCCGAAGCCGTCTGGAGAGAGAAATTCGTAGAACGTTCTTTGCTGCATCTCTACGTCTTATCCCACAACAACCACAACCACAACCACCCCACACCCACCCTCCTCTACACATGCTATTATTCATTCACAAAAACCTCAAAGACAAGACCCCACTGTTCAAAACTTCAAGGTGTACCCACCAATTCACCTGATCCTGGGGATCTGATTACATACATACATACATACATACATCGCCGTATCAGCCAGACACCATCTAGACGTGCCCACCAACACCTACCAGCATGGTTGTCAAAAGGAGAATGTGCAGCTGTCAACACCTCAACTCTCGAGCACATTATTAATTCCGGTCATCCAGAAGAGACTCCTTTCAAAGTCACACACAAAGCACAAAGTGAACAAGTCGTTCTTCGAAAGGATTTGTTCCGCCTACATCTTCTGACGCCATGCAGCTGACGCCTTACCAATCCTTAGGGAGAAACCTGAACTTTGTCTTCACAAACGTTTCATCCAGCCAGCTCTTTTACTACTATAGCCTGACTAGTATTTCCTCACTTCCCTCATTCATTCCTTCCTTCCTTCCTCCCTTCTTCCCCTCATTCCTTCTTCGTCTTCCTGAATAACTAGCTGTTTAATAACATCTGTCCAGTCCATTTCATGTTTCTATTCTACAACTCATTTTCAACCTTCCCTTCTCTTGTCTCTTATCAACTATTAGTTCTGAATGATTATTCATCACTCAACCAATTAGTTGTCAACCCTTTTGATTGAGTACGACTACTCCTAGTCTTTCAAACATACTTATTGCTCATTCACTCTGACTTGCTTCATCGCTCCCTCAAAGTTACCTTTGACCTCTGTTGTCAATCAATCAATCAATCAATCTATGTTGTATGCATAAACAACACCCTACACAAACCTACAGCCTTGAAGTGACTCTACGAAAAGTGATCTCTTTACTGACAAGGCATGTCTTCTTCTTAATATTAAAACAAAAAGTTAGTAGAAAGAGTTATTCCAAATCAGATGAGATCAGATCATATCAGATCACGGCATGAGACCAGGTGAGGTGATATCACACCGGGAGGATGACGCCTGCCCAAGGCGATACTCCACATGAACCAATCACAATTGAGATTGACTATTATTGGTGTGTAGAAAATGAAGGTGAATAATTAATTATTATTTATTATAACAGCTCTTATCACATGCATCCCCTTGACAAAGTGTTCTGATGAATGGTGATTGGATGAACGATGCAGACGATCAGACCAATCAATGAGCAGCTGAAATCAAGCATGTCAGTTTAGCTATATAAGTGTGGAGATGTGCCGGTAGGCGATTAATTTGACGTGACGTGACTTGACGTGACTGTACTTGTCGAAAGCGGTTGTCAGCAAGCAGCATCATGGTAGGTCGTTGTTCTTGTTTATGTGTTATGCATTGTGATGGTGACTTAAGCTGCTTGCTTAGTTGGTTGATGTAGGTGGTCGTGTATGTGTTGATGGTATGTAGTGTGATGTATTACCGACATTGACTGGTATTTGGCTAGCCTGGTAGTGACGACGAGGGAGGAGGAGGAGGCTGTGTTGTTAGCTAGAATGTGAGGCAGGACTGATTTACTTGCAGGTGAGATGAGGTTCGACCTACAATACGACGTGTTGTAGTATCGGTTGTTGTGGCTAATTATTCGATTGGTAATAATCTGGATTAGTGTGAGTTGTGGCTGTCTGTCGAGTAGGCGAAGATAGGAGGTGAAATGTTATCAGATTAGGCGGGGGACTGGTTGTATGCGTGTATTATCACGAGAAGTTGTATGAGACAATATGTGAGATTCGTTTTGGTAGTGTTTGAAGTTGTAATCTGTTGTAATTTTCTCCTTGGAGTAAGTTAATCACAGCTTGTTTATTTGTTTGTTTTTCAGCGTGAATGTATCAGTCTTCATGTTGGTCAAGCGGGTGTCCAGATGGGCGATTCGTGTTGGGAGTTGTACTGTCTGGAGCACGGGATTGAGCCAGATGGGCGAGTGCTGGTTGACTCGACAATTTCGACGAGTGGAAGTGGAAATGACGCATTCGGTACATTCTTCAGTGAGACGGGTTCCGGTCAGTATGTTCCACGCGCAGTGTTTGTGGATCTTGAACCGACGGTGGTTGATGGTTTACGCCATGGGAAGTACAAGCAGTTATTCCACCCGGAGCAGATGATTACTGGTCGGGAGGATGCGGCGAATAACTATGCGCGTGGGCACTACACGGTGGGCAAGGAGCTGGTGGACGAAGTGTTGGATCGGATACGGAAGCTGTCGGAGAGATGCACTGGTCTTCAAGGCTTTCTTATATTCCATTCGTTTGGAGGTGGTACTGGTTCAGGTTTCACATCGTTACTGATGGAACGGCTGTCGGTGGACTTCGCGAAGAAGGCGAAACTGGAGTTCGCAGTATATCCCGCTCCACACATCTCTACAGCCGTTGTTGAGCCGTATAACTCAGTCCTGACGACTCATACGACGTTGGAGCACTCAGATTGTGCTTTCATGGTGGACAACGAGGCGATTTACGAGATATGCCGTCGAAATCTGACCATTGATCGACCATCATACACGAACTTGAATCGTCTGATTGGCCAAGTTGTGAGCTCGATAACAGCTTCACTTCGATTCAGTGGCGCATTGAATGTGGATTTGAACGAGTTCCAGACGAACCTTGTACCTTATCCTCGTATTCATTTCCCGTTGACGACATATGCACCGATCATCTCAGCTGAGAAGGCATTCCACGAGCAGCTGAGTGTCTCAGAGATCACGAACTCGTGCTTTGAGCCAGTGAATCAGATGGTGAAGTGTGATCCACGGAATGGGAAGTATATGGCGTGTTGCTTGTTGTATCGTGGTGACGTTGTTCCAAAGGATGTGAATTCAGCGATAGCGAGTATCAAGACCCGGAAGTGTATTCAATTTGTGGATTGGTGCCCTACAGGTTTCAAGGTGGGCATCAATTATCAGCCGCCTACGGTTGTTCCTGGTGGTGATTTGGCCAAGGTGAAACGTGCTGTCTGTATGTTGAGCAATACAACGGCGATATCTGAAGCGTGGTCACGTTTGAACCGGAAATTCGATTTGATGTATTCGAAACGGGCTTTCGTGCACTGGTATGTTGGTGAAGGTATGGAGGAGGGTGAATTTTCGGAGGCGCGAGAAGATTTGGCTGCTCTGGAGCGAGATTACGAAGAAGTGGCCAGTGAGACGAATGTGGACGGGCAATCAGACGACGGTTATTGATGTAACATAAGTAAATTTGGTTATTTGGATTGTAATGTAATTGATCAGAGTTTTCTTTTGTACTTATAAACAAACTTATTAAACAACGAGCATGTCTTTACTTGTTTTGCTTTGCGTATTGTGTTTTGGTTAGTCGTATATATAGTGGATTGTAGTTGATTGTGGTAGGCAGGACTTAGTAGGACCGTTGTATCGGGTGTGAAATGTGCGTTCGTGTAAGTGTCCGCGTGATAATGATTGTCTCGCCTGAGCTGGAGTATGATTTTGAATTGAGATGTGTTAGGGTTTGTGTTGCTGTTTATCCGTTCTAGAACCAACTCGTAATCGATTGAAGTGGTTGGTTGGTTGGTTGTGAATACATGATTAGCCTATATGTGTAATTGATTATAGAGCGTGGAATTAGGTGTGGTCGATTAGGAGGGACATTTGTGACCATGAGGTTGTTTTGTGAGTCGTGTCAATTGAAGGTGTGTGTGGGGTTGGTGAAGTAAGTGTTGAGTGGTTGGAGCGTCCAGCGTTGTGTTTTCGTGCTGTAGGTTACGGTTGTTTCGTATGGATGAAGTGGTGGTTTGAGTTGTTTGACGTAGAATTAATAATAATAGTGGTTGGCCTTACTCCGAAATAGTCCTGATGCCTTGTTGAATTTCCCACATTTGGTGCAGTATTTCATCTAATTTACCCGACAGCGGGGGAAACAGAAATATGAAGTAACATTACTGAACTGATGATCGCGTTCCCTGTTTTAGGTACCATAGTTCCCTCCGATGACGATTAAGATATCTCCGATATCCACACTCTTGTAAACTTCGAATATTTGAGGATATTCGACTCGAGGTACGCCATGAATCATTGAATGTGGAATAAGATGAAGAAGACAACTTGTGCAACAAATTCTGAAAGTAGGTGAAACAACAACAATGATAGCTAGTAAGGGATGCAGGATTTTTGGCGGGTGTGGGTAAAGGCGAAACTGTTAGATCTTGACAATGAAGTGATAGTGACCAAGTTGATTAGAGTGTCTGTGGTAAATTCTTGTGAATACATTAGCTAGGCTTCTTCACATGGATTCCGATCTCTTCGGGTATATGTAGGAGCGAGCTGGAAGGACAAGTTAAGATAAGATAAGATTAGTCGGAATACAACGGATAACTTTAAATGCCACTGTTAACATTGACGTTATAATAATCAGCACGACTAGGAGCAGACCACCGTTAGTATTCATCATATTCCACTAACTTTCAGTTATTCTAATTTTACTACTTTCATTAGACTCGAATAAGTGCTTGAGACAACCAAATAATATCAACACAGTACTCAGGAATCATCGATTCTATCAAGTATTTAATGACATTTCCCAGATATTCAGAAGTGAACATTTAGTGTGCGTCTCAGGATTAATTACTTGATGTGCCTCGTTGGTATACAAACATAGTTTACATAGTTTGAATCAATCAACTCACATAGGTGGCATACAGCTTCGGTTGAGGAGACGTTAGTAAATAGTGGATAGGCCCAATCCAACGGAGCCACAGTTAAGCCAGATACATTGATTTGACTTATTGGATCCACGAATTGAAACGTATCCTCCTTTAAGGAGTGTTTGGCGATTAGCTTTCTCCCTAGGTTGTTAAGTACCTACTAGCCATGGTGCTACGGGATGATGGTGGTGATCATAACATGTAAAGGATTGACATAGACTACCTGTTCTTTGTGGATGTTTGGTGAGCCATGTAAATGGGAAATTTCTGAACCAGACGGTGGTATCATTTCCTAGGTCAGTGAGCCGAATTTTCGGTCCTCTTTCATCTTCAAAACTTGCATAAATGGTCTTCTTCATTTCACTGGATATGTGTGTAATCTACCATGAGATGTTCATGCATACCGTCGCCTACACATGCTGTTCAACTGGAATTGACGCATCCTAACAGCTGGATATTACTTACACAAAGACACTACACTGGTGTTGTCAATATGAATAACTCTTCAACAACTGTGTGTATAGACATCTAACTGTAGGGCGAAATGTGTCAGTTGTCGGAATGAGTATTCTTCGATCCATCATCTCTGAGTAAACCACGAGTATTCATTCTTTCGCTAATCCCCTATATAAGAAGGGACTATACAGTTTTATGTATAGTGATGGGAGAATTCTACAATACTATGTATGATTCCATTCACCGAGTATTTTGATGACACTGAGTGATGGATGATATGATATTACTCGGTGAAGAGAAGTGCATTATTTCTATGTGGTCACATTGAAGTGATGTGGCGAAGAATGTATAGCCGCTTGCGTTGACATTTGGTTGTCTCAAGCACCTATTGGAGTCTAATGAAAGTAATCAAATTAGAATCTGATGACGACCAGTCAAGTGGTTATTTTAGTTACTCATTTTTAGGTATAGCTGGGTGAAATTAAGTGGTTAGAGGTCAGTCATCAAAACAATCAACTACTAGATGTTAGTGAGAAGATATCTGAGTTTTGAGTGAGTGGGGGTGGGGTGACGGTGACGGTGGGGTGGGGGGTGGGGGTGGGGGTGAAAATTAATTACAGAATTCGTTTTGACTGGATTCTTAGGCGTTAGTAACAAGTTATAACACAATCAAAATATCTGTAAATTAATGACGACTAATAAGAATAGAATGAATGACTCAGGAGAATTACGCCAATCACAAACAAGTAAGTTATTAGAGTTAGCCAGAATTGTGAAGATTAGCAAAGTCGAGAGATGGTTACAAGGGGAGGAAAACAATCTTTCGATCTCATTAATTTTTACAATTCTGACTAATTCTATATATTAACTTGGTTGTATTTTACGCAATGCTTCTGAGTCACCCTGTAATTTTTCTCAGTCATCATTATTATTTTTGTAGAATTCTTGACTATGTAAGAACTTGTGACTAACGCCTAGGAATAAACGTGTCTTGAATTCCGTAATTAATTTTCAGCCCAGCTCCTTCAACACCTGGATATATTGTTACTAGAATTTGTTAGTAGTTCCGGTTAGACCACGGATTGATATCAGATGGAGAAGCATTGGGAACCAGGGAGCTCAGCCAGACAGCTGTTTCATGCTAGTTTGGGAATCACCGACTGTACACGCCGACTGGGTTTCGAAGACACGACCTTCCGGTTACAAGGCCAGAGAACTCGTATACCATTCAGCCACTGGGAACTGTTTCAATGGACATTGAGTTCCAACTTCTCCCAATTCGTGATGAGTTTATCCCGACCACCAACCCATGTCATCGGTGGGAACTCGATCGTCACTCGTCAATGGATGGACCCCACTGGTCACGAATTCTCACTACAACTTCGTCTTGTAGCCAGTCACCAACAACCATCACATTAACTCGATTATGGGGAAGATTTTTTTATTTTAATATTTGTGTAAAGCTTGGTCACTGTGGTATTACGTAATTCTACTCCAAATCTAGACTAACAAATTCTTGTGAACTAAAACATGGAGTAGGGAATTGGAAATTAGATAACGAAGGAAAAGTGGTTAGTCAGTTAGTTAGTTTTGACTCTGTCAGTTTATTTACACGTTCACCAATAAATATGGCTATAGAGGCAGTCAGAAACGAACTCATTTGTGATGAACAACTCGAACTTAGAAGGACACTGCTACAGAAACTTCAAGCCATTATCTTAAAACCCTATCTTGTTCTACTGGGGAACGTAAAGGAAAGAAAACAATATCTAGGATTGCTGTGAGAAATTTTATCACTTCCACTGCCTTTATTATATGTAAGTCTAGTAGTTGTTAAAATACATAAATAAATAAACTATGAAAAGCTAAGCATTATTTTTCACATCATTTTCTGTCAAACTTCACTGCACCAGTTTTGACCTGACAAACAACCAACCATTCATTCCTGTACTATTGAACGAAGGCTACTCCTACTACTACCACTAGGATTATGCTGGGTGTGTGCATGAATGAAACATGTACATGAATCATGTTTGTTTGTGTTAATCAGAGGAAGAGAATCACGATCAGACTAAGAGAGAAAAAAAGATCAAGGTCACATTATAGTGACGACAATTAGAGTGACATACAGTGAATTTAATCACACTGATTCAATTCAGTATTTGTTGTTGGTGTGTGTTGTAAGACAAGGCGACCGACCTTGAGATTAAAGCTCCAGTTTTTTAGTTATTTGTCTAGCCAGAGGAGATTACGGGTGGACCAGTATTTATCGATTAGATTGAAGTGGATTGAGTAGATGAATCATCTAGCGACTACGTTATAAATGAATTTCTGTTCCAAATTGACCAGGCATATGGATGAATGAAGAGAGGTCGACACAAAGTTCAATAGCTATGCGTATAACAGATAATAATAAAAGAAGATCTTGAGGGAACAATTGTTTTCGATAACTTCTTCTGAAGAAGGCTCTACAGTTATAAATCCATGAATAATAGAGTACATTTAGCCAATAAAGGCAAATGAAAATAATATCAGAAACTGTATTGGCGTGCATGCATAAGTTGAGATGATAGTCCATTAGTTAGCATAGTCAATTTAATGTGTATAGAGTGTTTAGTCAGAAAAAATGTGATGCAGTGTGAATGAACAATTTGGTGATATAGTGTTGTTTTATAGTTAACAGAATACAAGTGTCCTTGGGGTGAGAGAAATGCGATAACTACAAAATGCATACAAATACACATTAACAAAGGAGGCACTACATGTGAGGGTTGACCGATAATGTCTAATGATAAATTAAAGAGGCTAAATTGCAAATTGTAACAAAATGCTACAGAATTGGTAGGCTTAGTAGAAAATCATGAAGGTTAACAAAAATAAGGGTAACAATGAGGTGAAATAAACTGGGTGGAGAAATGGATGATAAAGACATGATATCACAAAATATTCATGATGATAATAATAGTACGAAAAATTATGAACCTGGTGACCTTATAGTGAGTGGGTCAGGGTAGACAAAGAGAGTGAATAAGTTTTTTCTGTACAGATAGGTCTGGTCTCTCTCTATTAATCTCTAAAGCCTCAGCTATGGCTAGGAGGCGTAATCGTGTGCCTTTGGGGAGATTGTTCGGTACCGTCTGTTCTTTTTGTAAGAAGAACATCCAAAAAAGGAATACTACCTTGGAGATCCTCTTCACAAGTGAATTTAATAGCTGGATGTACCTTATTGAAGACTTGGAGCAGGTGTTGTCTATCTGAATTATTGTTACAAATGATAAAGGTGTTGTCACCATATCGACAATAATAATCGACTTGGTTTAGTATCTCTCTTAAAGGACCATTTTCCAATTTGGATAGAAATATGTCAGCTAATAAGGAACCAAGGGGAGAGACCATGTCAACTCCAT